CAATTGGCCATCTATGTTCTCCGGTAACACTGAAGAAGGCCAGTATCTTACTTAGGAAACAAATAAATGCCCTTTTTGTTGAAGGAAAAGAAAAATGGTTGTCAAAGGACTTGGCTCTCATTTGTTTCTCTTAATTGTAATGCCACATGATTAGTATGCTGTCAACTCTTGATCATACAGAAGATAGTTTCTTCATTAATCAACAACTTAGCACTAAATCTCTTATCTGCAGCCAATACCGCAGTTTAATTTTTTGTTGTAAAACCACCAATTATTGATACACACCAGCAAAGGAATTAAACTTGGTATCTGATCATTTGATTAATTCTGTCAGTCTACTGTGTAGTGGGTGGAATTCATGGTCCAAATGAGAGTATTAATGGGATTCCGTCTCCACACCTATCCATCATCCCCTCGGCACAAGTAACAGCGCTGATCCTGAAGGCACGTCCCTCGACACAGCTTCTGGAGATCATTCCTCACCAGCTTCCAGAAGTCCTGGCACTGGCACAGACCTGTAATTGGTTATATTTCCTTGCAGTGACTTCCTTGTTACTGTTTCTAACCTTTTGTTTCAGTTTGTGTTTTCCTTTTCTTCACACAAAACTAAATGCATCAGCATTGGGGAAAAAAGTACATTTGGCCAATGAGTGCAGAACTTAAACATTTCTTAGGACCAAAACGTATTGTTACTTAACCACTCTAGTGATGTAAACTGTTCCACAAACTCCATTATCTTAGATGGAAGGGGAGGTGGGAAGATATTAACCAAAGAACTTACGTGCATATATGCAGAATCCATGGAAACAGACAATGGTACAGTGAAGTCTTGAGGGGCGGGGGCAGGGCAGGGGGAGGTGGGAGTGGCGGAGCGGGGGTCCACGGAGGGGAAAAAAAGGGGGACATCTCTAATACTTTCAATGATAAAGATAAATTAAAAAAATAAAAATGTATAAACGTTGTAGCTTGCACTTTCATAAGGTTTCTGATTTTTTTTAAGGTCTTTTAGTGTAGCAAGTGAGCATCAGAGCCTTTTCCCTTTCTCTTCACTTTTAAAGCACACTGAATCACCTTCTGGAAAGACATATTTTTATATACCTATGAAAAATCAACCAAAAAGAATTTCTAATTGAAAAAGAGGGAGAAGGTGTAGGTGGAACTGGTATCACAATATGTTTCCCAAGATAGTTATAAGGATACAGCTGTAATTTATATAGCAGGTGTCTCATTGCTCACAATTTCCTAAACTACAAGATGGTGGCAAATAAAACAGGTATTTTATGAAAACCGATGCTGTATGGACGTCTGACTTGAAGAAGGTGGGCCACCGTGGACTCCGTACTCCGAGATGCCCACTCCGGTTCCCAGTCACCTCTCTCTGGAACTCTCCTTTCAGGTCATAAAACAAAGCACATGATTGTATCCTCCATATGGAAACTTTAGTTCAAGAAGACAAATTTATTAAGAAGTTCTTTCCCACAAATAACTAAAACAATAAGCTTTTCAACAGATCAGGAAAACAGGAGATGACAAAGAACATTCTCTCTATAATCTAGGGAAAATGTCAAGAACAGTGCTTGTAAATGTTTCTAATAAGACGATAGCATAAAAGTTTTAAAAATTAATTTCAGTTTCCTTCAACCACCTACTGGCATTAAACTTTAAACAGTTTCTCTAATAGAATTCTATTCTCTGCATCCATCTGCATTTAAGAACAGAAAGTAAAACAACAGAAATCACTTGTAGTAGCTGAGAAATATTTTAAATGAAAATTATAGCATGTAGCAACATTAAGCAAAAGCCTAGATAAATGTAATAATATAGTTGAATCATTTTACTATGAACATTTTTTGTCAAATATAACATACTGTTGCAAGTACACTTCCTTGTGAACTGATGCTACTGTCACAAATGAAAATTTCTCCAAACTGAAAAAGCACCAAAGTAAATTTCATTAAAATAACTGATATTCATGGTTTGAAAAGTTCCTCATGGCAAGATTTTACAATGGAGTAAAAATTTAAACTTGTGAATGAAAACTGTTTACATTAGTTAAGGCACATCTGGACATCTCCAGACATTCACATATATAACTATATTAACTCAGTAATAAGGGGTTTCTAAAAACACAGTCTGTCCCCAAACAATCTGCTGGGTGGGCTGGAAAACTAGAACAGGGAAGGAGGCAGGGAAGGACTCACTGTCATCCTAGAGATTACCCACACACATCTGTTCCTGTAATAAACATTACAGAACTCCAAGTTTAGAGAAGTCAACACATGTACACTCCTAACTTTCCAGACCATACATTAACCCAGACCATCCTTCTCCACGACACCTACATTTGAAATCATTCTAGCATGTCTCACTCCAGCCTGCCTTGTATTTAACATACACCCCAAAAGAGAAAGGGGGTGTTCTTAGTGGGAAATAAAATAGAAATCTTCAAAACTATTCCTCTCACAAAAGATCCCCAGTCAATCCAAATAGATATGGAAGACCCTCTGGTGCAACTCCAAACCAGCAGGGTCAAGAGTGGCCATCCCTCTTTTTCTGAGGTTAGAAACTGAAGCTTTTAGAAGACCCCCAACTCTCAGTAGATTATAAACTCAACCATAACTGTACTACAAACTTCATAAGTTTAGCTTTAAACAATTAACCAAATATTCTCTATCCATCGTTCAACCCATTTTTAACCACTAGATATAGAAATTTACTTACTAAAATGATTTATGAAGAGTAACTCACAAGCAACACGACTGTTTTTCCTTTTTCACCAGGTCATACTTTTACTCATATTAAAGTGTAAAAGCTAACCGCGAAGCTGATAATTGTGCACCACAGAATAGGAACGTAATGGCCATGATAGGCATTATGGCAATTTCATATTTTATATTTTTAATACAAAGCAAAAAATCTTAGGACTTCTCTAATAACTCCTGAGTGGTAGGTTTTATTTTCTCCTTAAAGCTGAAAATAAGCAGCCTCAAAAAGTAAATTTAAAATAAAACTATACAAAGTAATTTTTGAACTGAGAACTAGACCTGATTTAGATAAAGCAGATATATTTTCACTTCTATCATGATTCTTCTGAATTTCTTATGAGATCAAGCATGAAAATATATAATAGTACAATATTTTTAATGTTATAAACCTTTACTGTACTGACATATATGATAATTATATCATTTTACAATATTTCAAAATATTTTCACATATATTGTCTCCTTAGCGATATGAAAGCACAAAATACTAGAAATGCACTAGACTAACCAAGCAGTAAAACATCGATTTGCCGTGAAATGCAAGTTAGTGTTTTATCAATAGCCAATATTTAGTATCCTCACAGTCCATGGTACAACAATAAAGTCTATATATTTGCAAAGATTCAATAATGTTTCTAGCTATTTGGCCATGCGTCATTGCATTTTTATAACAACTTCTCAGTAAATTTCTGTAAGCATATGGTAGTTTTTAAAGATACAAAACATCAGAGTCAAACCCAGAGGGTTGTTTCATATCTAACACACATAAATACATAACTATAGATCTTATTTTAAAAACTATTAAATGTACAAAGTATTCTTAATAGAAAAAATTCTAGACACTCATAATTTTTATCAGCAAAAGAAATAAGATCCTCTCCCTTGTCCTCCACTGAATAATTCTCTCGTAAATTACTCACGGATTAAATGTAGGAATCATACTGTTACATGTGAATCTGCATTTATAAAACACAGCGTGGTGGGGAAAGGCCACCGTCTCAATGGAAGCAGGGCAGTTTTCCCCTTGAGACAAAATGTTCTCAAATTAAATGGCACAACCTGAATAAACTTCTAGTTAGGAATAATATTCTAAAAGTTAAACTGTTGAATAAAATGTGTTTCTGTCGAAGGGTTTTGATATATCACAGTTTCTAAGTATTTCAGATGATAGCCATTTATTTTCATATCTGTCCACTGTTTACAACCTGAATATCTATCTGGTCCCTAGTTCTTAACATTATGCACTTAGCAAACAGTCTGAACACTTTAACATGTACGCAAAATCAGTAATATATTTTTAATTAAATTAATCGCATTCCTACAATTCAGCCCAATGGGACAACCTGACGCTACAAAGCTGTTTACTGAACTCTCTGGAGACAACGGTTCAGCAAGCTCTGCATTCGAGGGTCCATGCAAAAAAAACTGAAGTGCAAAAGCAGGACTGTTTCCCCGAATCCTAATGACTGCCTCACAAAACAGGAGAAAGGAAAAACTGGCATACTTTGGGAACCAAAAATGATAAATGTTATTAACAGTCATACAAACGAAGTCACATTTGAGCAACTGTGATGTTTCATGTAAACTCGAAACAGAAAAAAAAAAAAAAAATCACATTTCTAAAGGCACACTACTGGTGTGTTTATTTTCCAGAAATTCTCTGCTTAAAATCCTGATCAATAAATGTAACAGAGGATGTATGACGTGATTAAAAATATGGCATAGTAAACATTCTCGGGGGGTTAAAGTGAACAGAACTTTTCTTAAAAGCCTAAGAGACACACAAAAGCCAATTCCTTTCTAAATAAAATGAAATTTTCTGTTCATTGCTGTAACTATATTTGTATGCATACTTTGAAGTTCTCACCACAGTATTTCTGATTTTTCCTGACGTGCAATAATTATGAGTTAAAATATTACGAGAAATAACATTAGTTTCTCTTAACCAATGTTAAGACATTAAGTGCTTACTAAAACTAAATATATAAAATTTCAAATCTATTCTCAATGTTAAGGTTTGACAACTTAAGAGATGCATCAACTTGTAATTCTTTTATAAAAGATATCCACCCAGCCGGAGTGGCTCAATTGGCTGAGCATTTCCTGTGCACCAAAAGGTTGCAGGTTCAATTCTCGGTCAGGGCACATACCTGGGTTGCAGGTTCGATCCCCGGTTGGGGCACATACAGAACGGAAGGCAACCAATCAATGTTTCTCTCATCGATGTTTCTCTCTCTCTCTCTGGCCCCCTTCAGATAAGAATTAAAAATAAAATAAAAATAAAAGATACACTATGAACTAAGCAATATCATTGATTTCATAATCCACATAACACTGAGATATTCATGGCTTTAGGGACCACTGCCTTGTTGCCACTACAAGAGGCATGCCTTTTAAAAATAAATAATTTCCTTTCTTATTTTTCAATTCTTGAGTCACTTACATTCAGAAACAAGCACAAAATTTATATGGAACAGCCACAGAAGGCAAAATTCTTTCCTTGGACTTTCACATCAAAAAAATGATAAGCACTTTATACAGAAAAACATTTTTATTATTTCAAGCAAAGCAAATTCTTGAAATGATACAGTTGAAAGTCCCATTCTGTTCCATTTAAATTTCAGTAGAGTTCACGGGAATGTACACGCGAGGTCCGCTGGCTCACAGACGGCGGATGGGGGAGGGCCGAAGGGGGGAGGAGACAGCAACACTGACAAATGGGCTGGGAGCTTCCGGCCCGGGGAACATCCATTTCATCTATCTGAATTTTAAAATGAACATGTTGAGGTATTGTCATGAAAAAATCCAAATTACTCTCTGAACACATTTGAGAACAGGATTCTTCCAGCTTAAAGAAAGGAATCCGTAAATCAGGCAAAGGTGTGGCAACATAATAAAATTATCCCTCTTGGTTTTCTTCAGGTAGACTGTAATCTCTCAGAATTTATTTGATGTCACAAATACTACATGATTATTTCTATATACATAAAAATAACTGCAAAATAGTTATTATGTACAAAATGTGTAAACTCACATCCTAGAAGTGTTACAGAATATATTCATTTACTGGGTCATGTCTTAAAACATCTTACTAAACTTATTGTTATCTAAAATAAACAACACAATGCTTACAACATAAATCACCAACAGATGGCTAAAATCTGAACTGTGACCTCCGTTCTTTAGGATAAACCATAGAGCAGTTTTCTCCTCCCGGACCTAAACCGGTTTGTGGGCTTCTGGTAATTCACGGTGATGGTACATCATCCTGAGACTCTGTATTTCCAGGACTTTCACAGTCTTTGTGATGACTTTCACCTTCTTCCTCTTTTTCGGGAGGCGATGCACTCTCGTTTTTCTCTGTGGGATTAGTCATTGTTTTTTCTGGTTGAGAATCTGAGTTTTCGCCATGACCACCCTTCTCTGCGTTCCTTGGCCTGGCAGCCTCGCTGCCGGGCTCAGCGCCGGGCCCGTCGGTCTCTTCTCCAGGCTCTCTAGGTGACACTTTTTTTTCTTCAGCTGTTTTGCTATTTACATGAGCAGCTGAGGAGGAGTTTTTGGAGTCCTTAGATTTCTTCTGCATGGAGGTTTGACTGTTGTGACCAGAGGTGGGAGGGGCAGGCATTTTCTGGGCTTTGCTTCCCTCTGACTCTTGCTTCCTGGGTGGCCCCCAGATGAAGTTCTCTGAGGGTGTGTAATGTTTCTGGGCGAACCGGAGAAGCTTTCTCCGTTCTCGTCTGTCTCTAATTGTATACACAAAATACTCCAGAGCGCTCTGTTTAATATTGGGAATGGTATTTTCCACCAGAGCTTCATGAAGAATAAATTTTACAAGAGGAGATTTAAAACTTTCATATCCAAGCTCACCAAGGCTTTTAAGAATACGGGTGATTCTTAAATAGTTGTGCTGGGACCTAAAAGAGAGGATTGAATAAAATGAGGGGTGGGGGAATCAGGTGGAGGGAAGCAGGAGAATAAAAACTACTGGGAAAATATTTTTTATGAAAATAAGACTTGTAATGACTTTACTAAAAGTCAGCGAGACCATGAAGAAAAATAAATTAGAAGGTATCAAACCCTTATACCTCAATGTAATGTCAACCGTGTGATTCTCAAACATATAATATACATTCTCCTTGTTTCTTAAGTTCTTCAAATTTAAAAAATATTTAGATGAAAATTTATTTCCACTGATGTTGAATTGTTTGTTTCTTAAAAACACTGAGGATAAGTGATCTACTAGAGTATCTATTTGCAACAACAGCAAGGTACTACACCTGTCACAGGTAACCAGCACTGAGCCTAAACACAATATTAGCTGTTAACTGAATGGTATGATTTGCAGGGTTAACTGGTCAGCAAAATCTACCATATTAGCCAAGTCATAGGGAAAGCTGCAAAAAACCAGTCTACCTTGCTAGAATAATTCTGACAGAACATGCAACACTGACTTATTTTGCAGAGCATAGTTGATCACTTAAGAGCATGGGTTTCAGAGTCAGACCTGAGTTCGCACCCTGGCTCTGCCACTCACAGCTACCTAAAACGACGGTGACTCTCTGAGGCTCGTATCCTCCTCTGTTGGACTTCACTGGACTTTCGTAAGAATCCAGTGAGTTGATAAATATGCAGGCCATGTAGAATTCAATAAATAGATACTACTTAACATTAATATCATTATCATTATTATTATTATTATTTAAAGATTTGGTATTAAGAACCACCATATTTGTACCTATCCCAGCCTAGTAACTTAATTCTCTTCCATCCCTGGCCTCTCTCCTTCTCATCTGTCCCTATTAGAGAATTTAAAATTTTCTTTCCAATGGCGTTGATTCCAAAGATGCCCTTTTCCCCAGATTACACTGTCATCTTTCTCCTCTATTCCAATACTAAGGCCATTATCAGATGAATGCTTCCCAATCTTATTTTCTCACAATTCATAATCTACTGCCCCCACTTCGCTCAGCCTAATAGTTGCCTTATTATACCTGCCTGACTATACCCTGAAGGAACTTCAGCTACATATATTAACCATGTATTGTCACCAACAGCCCAGGTATTTGCTTACCCAGTTATTGCAATATAACCCTAACCGTCACTTATTTCTAACTTCCTAAAACCTATCTTACACCTCAGATGCTACACTTTATATAAGCATTGCCTATACCTATCCTGGCTTCAAAAAGCACTTGGAGTATTTCACTTACGAATAACTAGCCAATTAATTGGGAAGGATGGAGAAGGATGTTAATGAATTATTTGAGGGTAACAAGGGAGTGGTTCCATGGTCTCATATTTTAAGAAAAGTGTTTGGACAAAAAAAAAAGCCTTAAGCATCTGGGCTAACCAGACACTGACAAAGAGAAGTACAGCAGTTTTTATCGTCACTGTCCTTCAGGATGTTTGCCAAAAAAGTATTATCTTAATTCAGCTCTTTGAAAGCAAGGGGTAAAACAGATATGTTTCAGTCTTATGAATCTGTACATTTTAACAGTTAGGAAATAAGGGTATTTTGAGACAATACAAATTTGGGTGAAGTTAAGACAATGTACCCTTAATGGCAGAATTGACTTAGTTGTTAGGTTAATATAGATTCTGTATACTCTAAAAACTTAGTGACAAAACTCTTGGGCAACATTGGCCTCAAACATCTACAATAAGGAGAAGTGTGGAAAAGTGAAAAAAAATTTTTTTAAGCCTGATGAGTTCTATGACACAACAAAATTGACACAACACAATATTTGCAACCAGCTCAATTTCACATATCCAGTCCAGGATGAATGTCCAAAATAAAGTGTCTATACACATTTATCTATATCTACACATTCTCCAATTTAAAATATTGATATTACAGTAGAAAAGGACGGAAACTTGGGATGAAGAGAATAAAGATCAGGATGATGAAACAAAATTATATAAGAAAGGAATTGGATATTTTAATATAATTTAAAGTAAGTGTTGCAAAGAAAGAGAAAGAGAAAGAAAGAGGAGCTAAAACCCTCCTCATACTGTGGGCCATCTTTGGGGTTCCACAGCTGAGAAACAAGAGGAGCTGGGCTTCCAGACAGGGCTAACGCTGTCAGTAAGACCGATCAGAGAGAGTCCACACAAGGCAAGAAGTAGGAAACAGAAAATAGATGTTAGTGGAGATTCCAGAGTCTAAAATATGGCTCGGTCATCTAAGGTGCTTAGAAATAAAATTGGACATACATCTTATTGATTGGTTTATATATCTGTACTGTCATGTTTGAAAATATTTCATCTCTTCCAGTCATGGCCACTTGTTCACTAAACTTTATTTCATTCCACTTCCATTCAATATGTTCTTGTCTGCTGGGCTACTATAAATAAATATTGAGTTCCCTGCTTACTCTAAAAAACTCAAGTTGTCATACAGATTAGAACACAAATAAGTTATGACATTTAAGGATAAATCAGAAAATAACCCAACCGAAGAAAGAACATGAAACAGAAGTCTTCCTATAGTCTCCTATAATTTGTTCAAATCTAGTCAATATAATGTTTTGGCAATTAAACCTCAAAGGAAAGTTGTTTTCTGGAAGATTTTAAGGCAGTTAATTCATAGCTGGAAAAGCTCTGCAACAACCAGGGAAAGAAAAAAGAGACAATGGATAATCGAAAGTAAGGGAGCTGGATGAGGCGGAGGAGTGAGGAAGGACCACCAGTTCAGGCTCTGTCCACTGACTCAACCCAGGAGATCATTAAACTAAATAAAACCTTCAGAAGGGCTCTGTTTCCAGCTACCAATTAGAGGATCTGACAGTAAATCCCAAGGAGGATTTAATCTGACAAACATATGTTGTTCATCATTTATTCATTCAACAAACAACGGCTAAACAAGACGGCTAGTCCAACCAAGAATAAGTTGGAGACAGAGATTCTGTAAAAATAATAAATGTGAGTCCATGAAAAATGAGATACTACCTGATCCTCTCCAAAGATTTATTTCTGCCATCCTTCATGTCAATAGGCTACTTGCGTACAACTTTCTTTGGCAGCATGACATAAGTGTTTAGAAACCTTGTCCAGAGATGGCTGCCTGCATTGCCTAGGCAGAGGCTTACATGCTTCTGCTTTAAGTACCCTATCTAAATCAGATTAACTTGACTTATGAGTTAATGGGTCTTCTAATCAGAATCATAAAGCTTTATGTCTTTATCTTCAGTGTTTGAAGATACTGTTTTAATAGTGTTGATTATAACTAATAAAGTAAAAGAACCGTGGCTGGGTAGTTCAGTTGGCTGAAGCATCATCTCGATACTCCAAGGCTGTGGGTTCAATCCCCAGTCAGGGAACATACAAGAATCAACTAATGAATGCATAAATAAGTGGAACAACAAATCGATCTCTCTCTCTCTCTCTCTCTCTCTCTCTCAATCAACAAAAATAAAGTAAAAGAAAGACTTACATATTAGTATTTATTTTACTAAAGCAAGATGAAAGTTCTAGAAAGATACAAGAATTTTAGTTAATTGATGCTCAAAATTCTGATTTGTTATAGGCAAAGAAAAATTTCTTAGGTAGTTTTAATTGTTTTTCTCTTAGTACTTGCCCAGTTCTGTTAACTATAATGTGCTAAAAAAAAAAGAAAGAAAATGCTTTAAAGCTGTTGGTTTTATAGTCCAGCACTCATAAGTCACCCTATAATTAAAAAGGAAAAAAAGGCCAGTTTTCATGTAAAGAAAATAATAAGAAAAATAAACTTTGGGTAAAAAGTATTAATGAAAGTTCGAGATATCTAAGCAAAAGAATACAGAAAATCAATTCCAAATAAACTGTTAAAACTTTCTTCTTAGGTTTTGAGATTTATTAACCAAAAATGGCCTGCTTTTTACCCAAACAGCAAAGATTCTAACTTTCCCTTTTTTATAGTAAAACGTATGAGAACATCTGAGTCTTACAAAATGATTTTTGTGTCACAGGCTTAGTTCACGGATGGAATCTAAGAAGGCACCACGCTCAGGAACAGACTGCGCCACACAAAGCGCACAGCCCGTAGCGGGGGTTCGGAAAACTGTGTACCAACAATAACCACAAATGCCAGGAAACACGGCTTGGAAAGGGCTGGAGGCCACATGGCCGTGCGCAGCGGAGAGGTTCCAGGAAGAAACAGCTCTGAAACTGAACACCCATATTTCTACTCGGAATTTCACTCTCATTTGTTGTATTGGAATATAGAACAGGGAATAAAATGTATTTCAGACTAGCTTCTCATTTTAAATTCCTAGGTCCATCTGCTAGTTGTTCCTATGTTCCATGGAGAGTCCCAACCAAGGGAAAGTAATATGCTGGCCCGATGTATAGCAGGGGCTTCACTTACTCATTCAGATGCTGAAACCTTTCCTGCCAGTTAACGGCCCGAGCGACATTTCCAGTTTTATCAATGAGTTTTATTCCAAAAAACTCTAACATCATTTTATAAGCCAGGAGAAATCTTCTAATTGCTTCTTTTGTTTTTTTGAATTCCTAATGAAAAGAAAAAAGTCAGCTGAAATGATTCAGTCATTACCATGCCAATAAAATAGCAATGTTATTTGGCCATCTCATATCAAATAAAATGAGTTTGCATTACCTCAATTTCATATGTAGTTAGTTCTTTAGCATAAAAGTTCAAGCCTTGTTCTCTCAGGGGGAAAAGCCTATTTTTTAGAAAAATAATATTTGTATATTAATGTTGCCTGGAAAGTATACATAATTCAACAGGACATGGTTCAAGATAGAAGATATGAAACTGACCATTGAATATAAGTGTGGTTGTGCTCCAGCTTCTCATAATCTCCTTTCCACTTATTTAGAACTTCTTCAATGTAAACACCTGAACAGTAAACATTCAGAAAATGAACATTTAAAACATTGTTGAAGGCTTTTTAAGATTTAATCACTTAAGCTTTGTATGAAACATTTTTAAATATGAATAACGGTGCAAAAGAATAAGGCTTTGAAAAGATTTAGTCCCTATGCCATATACTGAGTTACTAATAAGCCTAATTTTTTTAAAAAATGACACCTCAAGCCCTGGCCGGTTTGGCTCAGCAGTTAGAGCGTCAGCCTGCGGTCCAGAGAGACCCGGGTTTGGTTCCCACTAAGGGCATGTATCTTGGTAGCAATTTGTCCCCGGCCCCGGTTGGGGTCATGTGGGTAGCAGCCACTCGATGTGTCTCTCTCACATCGATGTTTCTCTCTCTCTCTGTTCCTCCTTTTGTCCCTCCCACTCTATCTGAAGATAAATGCAAAAAAAAAAGTCCTCAGGTGAGGAATAAAAAAAAATGACACCTCTAACTGCAGAAAGTTGTATTGAACAGCATTATTCTAAAGTAAAGGGTGGCAAACTATGGTCTGACATCTGTTTTGTAAATAAAGTTTTATTGGAACACAGCCATGCACAAATGAATAAAATTCATTTATGTATTTTACACCAGAACAGCAGAATTTAGTAGTTGCAACAGAAATGATGCGGCCCACAAAGCTGAAAATATTTACTCTCTGGCCCTTTACAGAAAAACTTTACTAGTCTCTGCCCTAAAGGGTCATGTGGTTCTTTAAATACTGGATTGGATCAAATTGAAATGAATCCCAGGGAAAAAGAAAGAAAGGAGGGAAGAAGAGAAGGAGAAGAAGAGAAAGGAGTAATAAAAAATGAAAGAAAGCCCAGGGCCCTGGCCAGTTTGGCTCAGCAGTTAGAGCGTTGGCCTGCGGTCCAGAGAGACCCGGGTTCGGTTCCCGCTGAGGGCATGTACCTCGGTTGCAGTTTGTCCCCGGCCCTAGTTGGGTTGTGCGGGTGGCAGCCACTCGATGTGTCCCTTTCACATCGATGTTTCCCCCCCCCCCCACTCTATCTGAACAAAAATGTTCTTGGGTGAGGATGAAAAAAAAGAAAGAAAGCCCAGGCCAGTGTTGGTTGGAGCATTGTCCGGTACACCGAAAGGTCACATGTTTGATTCTGGATCAGGACACACAGCCGGTTGCAGGTTCAATCCCCGGTTGAGGTGCAACAGTTTGATGTTTCTCTCTCACACTGATGTTTCTCTCTCTCTCTCTCTCTCTCTCTCTCTCTCTCTCTCAAATCAATAAAAACATATCCTTGGGTGAGGATTTAAAAAAAATAATAAAAGAAAAAGGTGTTAAGTACCTACCTATCATATGTTGGGCCAATATTATATATGGTATATATCATCCACCTTAATCTTCACAAAACTCTCCCAAATCAATGTTGTTATCTCCATTTTACTAAAAGGAAATTGTGTGATTTGTTCAAAGTCACACACTAATAAAGGAATAAATGTAGGAATAGAACACAGGTCTTTCTGGTTTCAAAAAGTAAGCCCTCTAATTTACCACATTCTATAGTTCCCGTATAAGAACTTATTATAACAAAATCCTCCTGTTTAAATCAGTCTAGGTCCTTTCAATAGACTATGTGGCCATTTAGCCAATTTTATAGAAAAAAAGCACAACAATGTAAGATTTCCCTAAACATAACTTGTCTCATTTTTGTTTCCTCCACAAGTCACCAGTCTTTAGTAGAGGGCCACTTTCAAAAGATTTGGTAAAAAGTTGTTTTTGAATCACACTACTGATGTTAAAGGCATTTATCAGCATGTTAAAAGCATTTATCCCCATACTTTCCTGTTTGTTTTCCCTTTCAATTGCCCCTCCTCCTATTTAATAAGTAAAATACATTATTGCAGGCTTATGCTTACTGTCAAGAGTGAGTGTGTGTGTGTGTGAGTGTGTGTGTGTACACATACTAGAGAGGAAAAGTGAGTTGAAACACTTTATATAACAAAATAGAATAATATTTTATGTAGCCTTAGCTAAAATGTCTTACCCCATCTTATAAGATTTCAAAATAAATTTTGTGGTAAAGATTATAAAAAATGACTGCACCACTTAAAGTTATTGCTTTAAAGTACTGCCTCTAAAATAAATCCACTATTAGAAATATAAAATAATCCAGTTAAATACTGTCATATCTCTGGGTTCAGTGTTTTTAGGTATTTGAAGGTATTCCTTTAGGTAAATTTTATTAAATTCAAATCAGAGTCAAATTAACTATCATTGCCTTTCTTAAAAAAGTTTTCTTACGCCAAGTTCTAAAAAAATACTAATTGTTTAATTAATATTATTTAAATTAGTAAATAAAGCAATGTGCTTCTATAATTAGTAAATACAACAGATCATTTTTACCCAGAGGTTTCTTTCCAAATCAGAGCAGACTTTTGGGATGCCATATAATTGAAGACAAGTGAAATGGTTCTAGCCATATCAGCAATATTAAGCCCTAACTCCCAACTGGTGTGTTTCTTAGTGCACAGTACAAGGAGTTCCTCCTCCAAGTACTCCATCCAGCCTTTAGCTATCCTTCCTCCAGTTAGTTCACCAAAGACAAGGTACTGCCACTGGAAAGGTCTGCAATCCATGTCCCTCGTTCCTGACTCACACTGCTGTATTTCTGGCTTAGTTTCCACTGAGAGCAAAAGGCATGAGCCAGGGCCATTTGGTCTCCTCACAGAGATAAGGGCTCTGAGAAGAGAAGCCAGTTTTGCTGGTTTTAGCTGGTGGATAAAATTAGCAGCCCACTATGAATCATAGCCTGGTGTCTCAGACTCAGTGAAATATGCATATTACCATAGCATAGTGGCTGCACCTTCTCATCACCATAGGTTTAGAAAATATCCTATCAGGGCAGCTGTGGAGTTGTGAAGGAGGTGGCTAGTTTATTGGCAGAGCTGAAGAGAGACCTACTGTGTGTGCAGTTCCCTTCCCAGGCAGGACATTGGAACACTGAACTAGGACTCTTATACCTCCCTGACTCCTGAAACTGGAAGTCTACAGGAAAGATAATTCTAATGTAAACATCACTTTTCAATTATGTTCTAAATAATTTTCATGTATGGCACAGTGGAGAGAATACTGAACTCTGGAACCTAGACCCAACTCTACAACTGAGTGACCTGACAAGTCAGTCATTCAAGATGTAAGACCTAGTGACCTTATATTTAAAACGAGGAAGCTGTCATGACCAGTTTGGCTCAGTGGTTGGAGCATTGGCTTGCAGACCCCAGGGTCGGGGGTTCGATTCCTGCTCAAGGGCATACCTGGGTTGTAGATTTGATCCCCAGCCCCAGGCCCATGTGGGAGGCAACCAAGTGATGTGGGAAGTTTCTCTTTCTCTCCTTTCCTCCCTTCCACTCTATCTAAAAAAATCAATGGAAAAATATCCTCGGGTGAGGATTAACAAAAAAAAAAAAAAAAAAAAGAGGAAGCTGAATTTGAGCACTAATTTCCCTAATAATCTCATTTTCTATGGTTTTAAAAATGTCTTGTCCTTTTCACAATAATGGCTCCCAGTACCTTTCACATAATAACCACCATAAACAGGTGGCGGGGAGGCACTGCTAGTCTGCAGTTATTCCTCCAGAATTTGCCAAGAGACTGCTCACAACTCGAGGGTCTAGGACTTTGGGGACACAGTGGACTGCATAGCGAAGTAAACCCAGTCACTGAACACATGCATTGAGAATGTACGGACCACTAAATAAACAGAGAATAACTAGATGCACTTATTATTTAGATGTTGCTTCTTACCAAGGTAGCACATTACTCACCATCTGGCTTAAATGGAATTTTATTCTTATAAAAGCGAAGATTGCTCAAGTCATTTTGACACCGGATATCTTTGAAGTTCTGCTAAAGAAAAAAATCAATCAATCTCCAGCATATGGCCATATTAAAAAAAAAAAAAAAGGCACAAAAACCCTTCTTCCATTTTTGCTCATTGACACCACAAAAATAGGAAAAACAGAAGAAAAATATTTTACATTCATTTAAAAAAAATCTGTATCTTACTGGGTACTGGTGTCGGTATTTGTACAAATCCCTCGCAGCGTAAAAACTTCTCTTTGGTTTGGCACTTGCTTCAGTGGAGTCAGCACCCTAAAGTAAAAAGTACAATTCCATTCACATGTTGAAGCAAGATAATTTCACTGAGAAATTTCTAGAACAAACGTAAAACAATGAACATCCCTAAAGAAAGCCTAAAAAGTGTCAAGCTGTCCAGATTACTGAAAATATTATAAATGTCCTTTTAATAATATTTACATTTGTTGGTGTTCTATCTTCCTGATTTGAACACAATAACATTTGTCCTAAGGTGTTTTACTAAATAAAAAACTTCACTATTCACCAAAAGTGTATAGAGGCTAAATGTTATGGATCAATATCCATAGAAATAGAACTAAAAATGAATTTAAGACATATATTTTACCATAGGTTACACAAGTGATTCTATGACAAAACTTATTTTAAAGTACTTTATATAATACTAAAAAAAAAAAAAAAAAAATGCTAAGATAATAAATCAATTCTCCACAAAAAAATTCCCAAATTTTGCAACATTTAGCTACATTTGGAAATCAAGTAATATTTATATAAGAAAAAGAGGCTTTTAAAACAAATTATCTTTCGAAACTCTATCCCTCATAGCACCATAAAAAGTACAAAGACATGAATAATCTGTTAATTCAGTGATAATGCAATTTAATATAAATTAACAGATTTTAAATATGTACACACACAAAAATGAAAAACTCTCAAATGTAATGAACTTCATATTGTAATGATTTCTATGTGGTAGTTTACTCATATAATTTATTTCTAAAGAAAAGTCCCACCATCATGAAGTAGTTTTTAAAATAGAAGATGTAGGTCAATGTAATGGATTTACATTCCAAGTGTAAATTACATGTAGTATTATGTTTAAGAAAGTGCTTCATACCCAGTGTCCCCCCAGAACAATGAGACTGATGACAATGATGAAACTGCTAAATTCAAATCTCAGCATTCATTAAGAACTTCGCCCCCAAGCCTGTTCTCATCATCCGCTACCCCCACCTGTGCTGACAGACTAGCATCCTCTAAGCAATTCTTGCATATTTTTTGAAGGAGTGTGATTCTCACTATTACTACAAGTACAGAGACACTTTAACACCACATTCTTCGATGTTTAACATTAGCTACTGTGTCATGTTACATAAGCAAGGAAAAGCTTCAATTTTGGTCCTAGCCACATGTTTCAAAATAGCTCTGCCTAGCAAGTTTCTGAATCTATTTAGCCTCAGCTACAACCATATGAATCATCATCCTACATTTGTATAGAAAGCACTTTTCCATTTACAAAGTGCTTACATGTATATTATTTCATTTGATTCTTCTAACACACCTGGCTGGCAGTTATTAGTGTTTCCACCTTAGAAACAAGGTAACCCAGACTTAGAGAAGTTAAACAAGACCCAGAGCCCGAAGATAGCAAAAGAACTAGAATCCCGTGCTCTGGGCTCAGAGTCCAGCTAATTAGGTACAAGTCCATTCCAGCTCCACTAACAGTCAAGGATCACGACAGAAACTTGGGTATAATGTCAACAGCCCAGGACTTGGAAGCAGGATACTTGGGCTGAGTCTCAACTCTGCTACTTATTTGTGAGGCCTTAAGTAAATCACTTAACTGAATCTTAGTTTTATTATCTGTGAAATGAATAGTGACTCATGCCCGGCCTAATGCCCAGGATTATCATGAGCACGATTGCCTCCTCCAACTTCTAAATGTACCAACCTGCCAGCATCCATCCCTGCTCCTTCAACTTCTACTCCTTTTATGTTCTTTATTCCATCCCTTTTCACCTGCTCAGGCAAGGATTTTGTTCCTTAACTTATTGTTCCTAGTTCTTGTATCATCAAATTTCCCTGCATTTCTGGCTCATTCCCCTCAGCAAACATGATATAGCATCTCTAATCTTAAATATATACAACCTTCCTTGATTACATCCGCTCCACTCCCCTTGATTACAGATCCATAGCTCTGCTCCCTTTTATAGTAAAACATCACCAAAGAGCTGTTCATGCTCCATGTCTCCTTCTCCTCTTCTCCCATGACCTACCCCAACCAGGCTTTCATCCTCAGCATTCCATCAAAACAGTACCTGTGAAAGTCACTAAAAATTTCCATCACACCAAACGATTTCTCAGTGCTCAACTCAGGGGACCTCCCTTCAGCATTGGGCCAATTAATGCCTCCCTCCTTCCTGAAATACTGTCAGATACCACACCTCCCCTGGTTATCTTCCCACTTCATTGCTTGCCATTGTCAGCCCCTCTTTGGCTTCTCCTCTTCACATGCTCTCGTGCCCAAGGCTTAGTCCTCATTCGTCATCACTCCTGATGACCACATATCCTCCCATGACTTAAAAAAAAATTTTTTTTTCTTTATTGATTTTTAGAGAGAGGGAGAGGGAGGGCAAGAGAGAGAGAGAGAGAGACATCAATGAGAAAGAATACTGACTGGACACCTCCTACACGCCCCCCACGGGGATCAGGCCCACAACATGGGCATGTGCCCCAACCAGGAATCGGGCTGGCAACCTCTTGGTGCATGGATTGACGCTCAACCACTGAGCCACACCGGCTGGGCTCCCATGACTTTAAATACCATCAATCTTATATGCTGAAGACTACAGTCCTGGACTGGAGTTCTGTTCACAGATATAATTAACTACTCAACTTGGATGTCCAATAGGGTATCAAACTCAAGAGAATTATTGATTTAGCCTCTGAAGATGCTTTCTCCCTACACTTTTCCATCTGAGTTAATGGCACCATCACTTGTCAAATATTCACTTGGACTAGGAGGTGGCCAGAAGTAGTGAGTCTGAGATATACTTTAAAGATAGCTCCAGTAGTTCTTGCAAATGAATTGACTGTGTGGAGTAGGGAACAAATGGGGTTGACAGTCAAAAAGCAAAATTAAAAAGTAGATTTTTTTTTTAGAAATTAGATGGTGATACCAACACAAAAAAATCATTCAAGTAAAAAAGGGAGAGCTGGTGTGGTCTTCATTTACTGGGGTTGCAATTAACTGATGGAAACATTAATTACCAAATTGGTTTATATACAAATGGACCTGGTTAGCTGGACTGAATCTGAGCTGGTGTGTTTTGATAACCTCAACTTCTTTAAAGGTTATGTAATTGGGAGACAAATGGAAGGGGGGAACATGGAATACAGCATCTAGTACTTTCCTGGGGCTGAATTCGCAATGCAAGATGACCTAGCAGCAAACCAGAACACAAGGGGCAGAGGGATACTTACAATTCCGACAAGTTCAAGATTCTGAAGTTGACTAAATATATCTACTTGGGTTTGCATCGTTCTCTCTCTGGATGATCCTGAGCAAGTTTCTCTCTAGGCCTCAGTTTTCTCTAAAATGAGGATTAAAACCAGCGACTACCACCCACCCCCAAAATTGCAGTTGATTTTAATAACTCGTTTAGCATAGAGCCTGCACTAAGACTTTATGTTTCCTTCTGACCTAAACATAGATGATCAACAAGCTGTACAAAGGGGTGATTCCTCTACTCCTGTGGTCACATGTGACTTTTGGGCTCCATTTTTTCACTCTCATTTTCCCTTAGCCGATTCCGGGGAGGGCGGAACGCACAACAAACCGTAAATACCTCCAGGACACACACTTCCTCAGAGGGTTGGCTAGACCGTTCCTCCTTTTTAAAGTTTTCTGAATTATTTTCAGTTCCATCAGGGCGTACAAGGGGTATTTATCTCTTTACTAACCTCTCATCCAGATTGTATTAGGCAAATGATTTAAGCACGGTTGGATCAACAAGTCTTCTGGGTAAAATAATATTTTTGAAGAGTGCCCAGAACTCCTCGGTTGAAAGGCCTTACTTACTTGGGGTAAAAACCGTGGCGTTTTAACTTCGGATGGGGACCTTTTACAATACTTTCAGTGGCCGTCGACACCCCTGTAGGGAAGAGTGCTCTCCACGGATCAACTGCAGTCCCTCTTTATTCTGGGTAATTTTCACCAGTAACACACACTAGCCCGGTTTCCACAATCCTCTATTTTTAGACAGGTTCCTCCCACCTTGCCTTCGCGGCACCCAGCTGCGCTGCGGAGGCTCAGAAAACACCCATTCAAGTTGGGTCCTGCCCTGAGGGACTTCCTTGTCGCGCCCACGAACAGGCCCCAGGTCGGCAGCGATCAGCCGCGGCGCTCCGGGCCACCGCAGGCCGCCGGGACCGCGGGGCAGCAGGGCGGCCGGGGGCACGGGGGCGCCGGCCGCGAACGACTGGCAGCCGCCCGGCGTCCCTGCCCTCCGCGCGGGGACAGCGCGGCGCCCGCTGCTCTCGTCCTTCCTCCAGGCGCCGGGGGCAAGGGCGCCCCGGCCCAGCCCGAGGCCACCATGGGGCCGCGTACCTGCTCGGCGCCCGCCGCCTCGGCGTCCTCGTCCGGCGCGGGACTGGCGCGGGGCCGCCCGCCGGCTCGCTCCGGGGGCTGCGCGGGCTGCTCGGGCTCCTGCCCCGGGCCCTCGCCGCCGCCGCCCGGCCCCGGCTCCTCCGGCTCGGGCTCCGAGTCCGTCTGCCAGGTGGAGTCGCAGTCCTCCACGGTGGTGGGCTCGCGGAAGCTGACCCCGCCGAGCAGGTTGCCCATTGAAGAGGCGGCGGCGGGCGCGGGCTGCGGGGCTGCGGGGCGCGGGCTGCGGGGCGCGGGCTGCGGCAGGCGCACTAGGGCCGGGGCATGGCCGCGGCGAGGGCGCTGGGCGGCATCCTCGGCGCCCGCCGCCGCACTGCCTCAGCGCGCCGAGCCGCGGACTGCCACACTCGCGGGGAGGAGCCGGCGGCCCCGGGACCGCCGCCGCCAACGCTTGAACCCGCCCATCTGGTTCCCTCTCCTCCCCCTGGGCGGGAGCCGGCGCTCGCCCGGAGCCCAGGGCAGCGAACTGCCCGCCTGCGGCCTGAGCGCCGCCGCCCGCGGCCCCGGGGTCACACCTCGCCCAACACTCCCCCTCCCCAGCCAAGGCCTGCTGGGGTCCCCCGGGGGGTGTTGCTTACCCTCCCCCTTCCTTCCCCACCCTCAGCCCCACTCCACCCCTGGCGGGGCCTCCTAAGAGCTGAGCGAGAGGAGTGGTTGATCCCACCAGCTCTGGGAGGACGGGCTGGGGTGGACCTGCTGTCAAGGAGGTGTCAATGTCCGCAGGCAAGCCCTGTCCACACCCCCCACCCCACCCCTTCTCCCTGCTGGTCCCCGAGGAAGATAAATTAGCTGCAGCAGAAAAAGACAAAAGCTAATGGTGACCAGGTACCATATAAACAGAAAATCCAAGCTATGAAGACTGTACTTAGGGCAGCCACCTGGAGCCCCCAGGTCTAAATAAAGTCAGAGCTGTCACTTCGTCTAATGAGCAAAGCAAAAAACAAAAGGAGCAATAATAGCTAGACTTTCACATTGACCTGTGAACAGTTTTACTAACACCCACACCAAACTGGCATTGTGAGTAGAATAAAAACTCAGAATCCTTGGCCCCTCCATCTGCATATATATATATATATATATATATATATATATATATATATATTGCGGTACTTCAAGATAGAACAGCATGATTGAATAAGTGGCCCAGAGAAAAGTGACTACTGTAAACTTGGTATTATGACCTTCTAACTAGAAGGCAAGCCTTTCCGCGGCGGCCATCTCTGTATGTGAGGAATTGGTAGGTACTTAGTAAACATGATAAAGGTTAGATATGCAAGATTAAATTGGTGCATTTGAAATAGTTTCTTTTTAATATTTCATGATAAAATAGGATACTGAATCAAGGCCGGCTGGACTGTTTCTAGGGGGAAGAATCAGGTGAACAGGTTGCTCACTCCAGAGATAACTCAGGATTTCCTGTCTTCAAGCATGGCAGCAGGAGATCCCAGCTGTAGCATTGTCCCTAATCAACCTCTGACCTGGGACAGGTCATATAGCTGCTTTAAACCTAAATTTCTTCATCTATAAAACAGGACCGATTTTATCTCTGGCATCTCTTGCAGCTCTGACTTCGTATGATCCATGACTGGGGATAGCTCTCAAATTAATAAGTAATAGACACCAGACACACACAAAAATTTTTTGGTCATAATGGCTTGGTGAAGAAGAAATGAGTAGCAGTAGAATACCTGAATCTAACTGCTCATATCTGGAGAATTGAATTCATCTTCCATTGGCAGAGGACCAGAACACATTGCAGAAGAAAATGCTGTCCATCACCATAAACATTACAGACATAGAAAGTCTGGGGATAGTTGCTGTGCTAGGTGTTCCATCAGTTTGTTTAGGTGTGTATAAATTAGTGTCCTAATTTTCTTTGCCCTCCTCCCACTGAGAGATAGAGTCAAAATCCCTTCCCCTTGAATCAGAGATGACCTCGGTGGCTTGCTTTGGAAAATAGAATATGAGGATTTTCAAAAATAGAATATTTGGAATTTTTGTGGTTAAGCTATAAGGAACTTTGCATCTTCTACTGAGGTTTCTTGGACCATAGTCTCTGGTAGCTCTGAGCTGCCATATAAGTTCAGCTACCTTGAGACTGCCATGCCAGAAAGGCTACTGTGCACGTCTTCTGGTCACTAGTCCCAGCTAAACCCTGCCTTTCAGCATCCCCTGCTGAGTCCTGCTAGTTTTTATTGGGTCCTCCAGACCTGCACACCTACCAGCTGAATACTTCTCAGTGATGCCATGTAAAGCAAAGGAACTACCCAGCAGAGCTCTGCTCAAATTCCTGACCCTCAAAAATAGTGAAATATAATAAATTGGCTGTTGTTTGAAGTCACCAAATTTTGAAGTAGTTTCTTAACCAGCAAAAGATAATAGAACAGTGTAAAGTATCTGTGTAAGCCTGCATGTGTTTGTATATATAACCACTGCAATTAAATCCTTACCTTTTCCACTACCTCTTGGCAAATGTATCCATTTTTTATGGGGCTATAGATTTTTGAGCCAAGGAGTGCAACATATTTTCTAAAGAACATAATTTTACATGAACTAGTATAATAACCTTAAGTAATAATTTTAAAAAGTAAATTTACAGCAATAATTGATCACATTGTGTCCAATTTATGTATTGAAGACAATTGTTTTTGGAGGTCTCTCACCTCTAGGTTCTATATACAGGAATTACCTTATCTGAAAACTTAAAGTCTTTCATTACAGTATTCCTATCTTTGAAAGCATTTAATCTTTCTGCATTATATTCCTGCATTAACACTAAGGAAGTATGTCTTTGCTTCATATCAAAAATTCAACACAGCCAGTACCAGGCGTATATTAATTTATCAATATATGTTAGCTCTAATCATAATTTATTCAATGTCATCAAAGAACATTGAAGTCAACAATAATACACACTTATATAGAATGAGGAGGAACTATCACAATGGTCAGTTATAAAGTATAACTTCTATCCCTACATCCCAAATCTACCCTAAGCAATACAGATACTATAACCGTGCTTCACTATAACTGTTTTCAACCCTGGCATTTTTCAATCATGTCCTTGAAGGGCAAGGCCATTGTAAGAAGGAATTAAACTTTTTGGATGGACCCAAAAACACACCGGGCATATCTTAAATTGTTTTTTGTTTTGTTTTTTAACAGTGAATTGTGTTTTAGGGAAGTGCAGAGAGAAAGTTTATTGTTATATAATTTCCTTTGAGAGCCTTTCAAATAAAAGGAAAGGGTAGATCAAAGGCCATTTTATTCAAGTCCAGGAGTTAAATTCTCAGTAGCTCCCAGGAACTTAAATCCTATGGAGAAAAAAAGTGTTATGAAAAATATTGCCCTCTTTTATCAAAGGCAACCTTATTTCTATTATTTCTAGTTTTTCCTTTTGTTGTTGTTATTATTTCATAGGGAAGTAAAAGTGTAGGGAGTAGATAACCGATGTCATCAACAGACTTGGGAAGTTGGAGCCACCCTGGTTGCGTGTGTTAGGGGCCTTCTGCAGCCTCTTCCGGCCACTAAAGTATTATTGGCTAATACCCCAGAGCAGTAGTGTACTGTGTTGTATGAAAACTAAGAAGCAATTGATTCTAAATTGCCTCTTACTTGAGAGACATGTAAATTTGAAAAATATTCTATAATTCGTGTAATATTGTGGTTTGCTAAGAGAAAAGTTTAACATTTTTAAAGGATTCATTTATTTCTAAGGAATAGTTTTCAATTCAAAGGCCAATTCTACATTCATACCCAACAGAGTGTTTTCACAGCTTAAAGCCCTTTATACCAATCACACTGAAGTTATTAATAAAACAATAGTGAATGTTCATAGAATTTATTAGTGTATAGTAAGATATCAGTGAAGCAAGTTGAAATTAATATGATAATAATTCAGTAATAAATTATCATTTGCATAACTAAGCAAGTAAGTTCAGCTTGTAGACTAAAAGTAGAGCTATATTTAAGTTTTAAAAATAATGACATTTGGTCTGTAACAATGTTTAGAGTCCTTATTTGGACATTAAGTTTAGTTTTAAAAATAACATTTTTTTCAGTAACACTTCTTGGAGACCTTATTTGGACAATGAGCATCACTTGGACCCATATTTGGGGTTTGTATTCATTTTAAGATGCCAAACTATAAAGATCTTTTCTAGCTCTATTTCAATAAAACATTTTTAAATGAGTATAAACATGATAAAAATACAGGAATTTTTACCTCAATCAAAAAATGAAAAGTAAAAAAGAAATTTTGCCTATCATCTGCAAAGTTAGTGCTCATTTTTTCATGAATAAAAATAGATATGTATCCCCAAATTTCCCTTTTACATTTATTGTCATTAAATATTTATTATTTCCTATCATTCTTGTTCTTGGTCCTTTAAATTTATCTGATCACTTAAAGACATTACCATAACTGAATAAGAAACAGAAATGTAAACACATTCTGAACTTTTCCTCAGCTCAGAAGGGTGCTTGTTATTAAATCTACAGCAAGCAATGTGTTTCGCGTGGATTCTGCCAGGCTTCCTCAGACTTTCTGCCCTTCTCTTTTACAGTTACTCTTAATCTTGTGAACAGACTCCTAGAGGTAGGCTGTAGGAATAGGTCTCCTCCAGGCTACTCAGAGCAATTGCCCCCGGGAGGATAGATCAGAACCAGCAGACATGCTGTCACAGAGCCCAGGGACACATCAGAGGGGGTACAGAGAGACCCAAAAGCAAGCATTGGCTCTTTATCCCAGGGCTTGATGGCAGCCTCAATACACCAGAGGAACCAAGTCATGCTCCTGCCCGAAGAGAAGTGTAAGCTACTTAAGCCTTAACCAACCCCAGACTCCAGTCTAGTCTTTTATGAGATGGGTATGCTCTTGGGGGGTGGGGGGTGGGGGTTAAAGAAAAATTCTTCATAGACTGTCAGCAACTTCATCAGGGGAGAACTGAGGCGTGGGTGTGTGTGGCAAGGAGAGGTACTATTTTCCAGATGGCCATCTCTTCAAAGAGAGGCGCCATCCTATTTGGTAACAACTGTTGCTTCCAGCCTTCGTAGCTTACAATTACCTTTAGAGGAGTGCCTAGGTAGTTCTTGGTCTCAGTTTTAAACTTTGCTTTCTAATGGCTAATCATCCATTCTACTCAGTTTCCAAGATAGCCATAATGAGCCCCACTTCC